AATTATTATGTTGACTATTTGTGACTAATAAATTTGTTGACTTTTCTAAAATGCGCTTAGGCTATATGCTAAGCGCAAAATGTCTGAAAACAAACTTTTTCGTAATACAATTATCTATCAATATATATCTATGTACATTTTGACCAGACTTATTTTCTCTGGCAAATGCGCAACCATTTCAAGTCATATCTGAACATAGAAACGTGATAGTACTTCCGCAAGTTTAGGACGAATTTTATGCAGATATTAATGAGACGATCTTGTTTATTCAGCAAATCACCATAGTGTATACTATGGTGATTTGCTCCATAGTGTACCTCTATACTATGGAGATAAAATATGTATATTCTATTGTAGATTATGATATCCCAAAAATCTGTAAAAAAATCCGTTAATTTATTAATCGGTCATTGCATACAATTCCTAGTATGTATGTAATTCCTAACTTCCTCCAGAAACGTGTGAAATAAATCATATTAAACATTTCCTGTAAAAATGATAAATGTAGATTGATTACCATATATGATGTAGTCCATCACAATGGTATCAAGCAACGGAACAAAAATAATAGTCAAAAATGTGTTTATTTTTTCATAATCGGGTAAATGGGTGCAAAGGTTATATACCTCTAGTATAGTGGTAGCTGCTACATATTGTCACATCAAAGCTATCGATTTTTAAGAGAGTTTTTTTAAAGAAAGTTTCGAATATAAAAACTCATTTCTTGAATAATACGGTAAGTTACCTTGTCTTGGTAGTGGGATTAAAGGGGAGGGATATGATTATAATCTGATTGTCTCAGTAAGTGCCAACAGCGTGTTTCATTAAAAGAAGTCTTTTTTTATATGACGCTAATGAAATTACATACATTTTGTAAGAGGTTTTTACATTCCTCCGGATAATATATATGTATTAAATAATTAACTATATTTTATAAAATTTCTAGATTTCAAACATTTCCAGTACTATACAATACACACAAACACAACCATAATTTCGTGAGATCTCAGCTAAGTACATTCAACCCTCGTTTGGTGGTCCCCTTCGTCTAGACACTTCGACCCTGACCTGACCTTTCTTTAGAAATAACACATTCAATTCCCCCTCACGACAGCTGTTTGCTAAAATTTGGTCTTAACCTTGGCTTTCATCGAAACCGTTTTGCGTGTTTTAATTAAAGTAAGATATTGAAATATATGAATAAAGTCCGGATACCGATCAACCATAAATTGAATTTACCTATGAATTAATGACGTAACGACAAAATGTTTTTCTTCATGTACATATTTTAACGTTATTCATTAGTGTCACATGTTACCGGAAGTTTTGCACGATTTAAACTGTCAAACACCAAGCGGTCACCGGTGACCGCAACCTATTCTTTAAACTGTCAAACACCAAGCGGTCACCGGTGACCGCGACCTATTGTTCTTTAGTTGTGTCTATAAAACCGGTACTCGACGAGTTAATTGTGTCTATAATGACGGTACTCAACGAGTTAATTAACTAAGAGTTGCTAAGCGTACGGTAGCTCCTAAATTAACTACAGTGCGCTTGTGCGTAGCCTGCTACTATGTTTTGCTTGGCCATGTATGTTAATCTGCTTGTATGCTGGGAATAGATTTACCCAGCGATACGTCAGTGGTAGTAGACGACCTTGTTTTGTAATTTGAAAATGTAATACACTATATGCAGAAACACATTAGTGTCATTAACCGAGCTGTCTGAGGGTAAATTAGCATTTAAATAAAATTTTGTCTTTATTGATGTTAACTTTAGATTTGAGGTACACCCATAGAAAACGTCCATGGGGGTTAAATCAGGACTGTGTGGAGGCCAAGTTATGTCACCTCTCCTTAAGATCAATTTGCCCAAGATCAATGCCTCTTACTGGCATCTTTGGTCTTCAATTCTTGCACCAATTGAATTTTATGCGGATCAACTTTAGGTCATTGTTCAAAATACGGTGCAATGACGATCTATGCACATTTAAAGCACTCGCGCGTTTCCGACTTGAAAGGTTCGGATCGTCACTAACAGATTCATTAATCCTCTCCACGTCTTTAACCATTCGTGATGACCTTGATCGCCCGAATTTTGGTTTTTCAAGCGTTGTACCGGTCTCTTTAAACTTTTAACCTATTTGCGGATTAGAGGTATGCTTGGGGCATGATTTAAGTGACAAAAACCTCGAATACTGCAGAATCTTATAAGCTATAGTCGCCGAATCGCACGGTCTGCTCCCGAGAAACGCTCCATAGTGACAGACTTCCCAAGAGCCACGCTACCGACTGCCGTAATCCCCGCGCCCCTCAGATTCGTTGCGTTCACGCAGTGCCTACTAAGGCACCCGAACGGGCAGACACGTGAGGGCAGACGTCGTTGCCGGACGCATGCGATTAGAGAAATTTGCGCTACAGAGAAATTCATTTTGCAATAGAGTAAAAATATTTGATTGCTTCGCATAATTTTTTTAGTTCCTATTTTTTATTAGTAAGGTCCTAAAAATTAATTTTGTACATACTTAATATTTCGGGATATTTTAGTTCATAGTTCATTTTAATTCATAGTAGGTAAGATTATAGTAGTTACTTAGTATATAACGAGGCGCTTACTAAGATTGAAGACCAAGTGATGGCTATATCTGGGAAAACATTATCAGATTTTGGAATGAACCGACCACAAAGAATCGGAGAAATTAGCTGTGATTTATTAAGAGAACTGGACTACAATGTCGATTCTTTACAGCAACAAATATCAAAGTCTGTTCCTCGATTGAACACGGAACAAAAATTAGTCTTTGATTTTGTTGTGCAAAGAATTAATAATGGTGAGGGCGGATTGTTTTTCTTAGATGCGCCAGGAGGCACTGGAAAAACTTTTCTTCTAAATTTACTTTTAGCCCAAATCCGCAAAGACAAAGAAATAGCTGTTGCCGTAGCTTCCTCTGGAAGTGCGGCGACGCTGCTCGAGGGAGGCCGTACGGCACATTCAGTTCTTAAACTCCCATTAAATTTATCTCATGAGGAAATTCCAGTGTGTAACATCACAAAAAACAGCGATCGTGGCCGAATGCTACAGCAATGCAAACTGTTAGTGTGGGATGAATGTACAATGTCGCATAAAAAGCGATCGAGGCGCTCAATCGACTCTCTGAACTCTGAAAGATATCAGAAACAACCAGAGTTTAATGGGTGGGATGGTAGTGCTGCTTGCTGGGGATTTTCGACAGACACTACCTGTCATTACCAGAGGCACTCCAGCAGATGAGGTAAATGCATGTTTGAAAGCGTCTATATTATGGATGCATGTAAAAAAGTTTTGTCTAACTAAAAACATGCGAGTACAACTACATAATGATACGCAATCGGGGCAATATGCAGCTGCTCTATTGAAAATTGGTGAAGGTCGAATGACTACGGACGCTAACGGCATGATCACGTTAAATTAAGAATTTTGTAATGCTGTCCACAACTTGGAAGATCTTAAAAACAAAGTATATCCCGGTTAGGAATATAACATGAGGAATAGAGAGTGGTTGTGTGAAAGGGCTATATTAGCACCGACCAATGAAATCGTGGGACAGATAAATGAACGAATGATGTCACATGTGCAAGGCGATGTTGTCGAATATTTATCAGTAGATATTATCATGGATGATATCTTATCCTACAAAGTTTCTTAATTCTTTAGAGCTATCAGGAATGCCGTCTCATAAGCTGAGACTGAAAGTTGGGGTTCCAGTTTTGTTAATGAGAAACCTCGAAGCACCGAGACTATGCAACGTAACTCGATTGCAAATTACGCAGCTAGGACGCAATATTATTAGAGCAATTATAATGACAGGAATAGCTAAAGATGAAGAAGTTTTGATTCCTCGCATACCCATGATCCCTACAGATTTACCTTTTCAGTTCAAAAGAATCCAGTTTCCCCTCAAACCAGCCTTCGCAATGACCATTAACAAAGCGCAAGGCCAAACACTGAAAGAGGCGGGTGTAAATTTAGAAAAGAACTGTTTTTCGCAGGGGCAACTCTACGTGGCCTGCTCACGTGTATCAAATCCCAAAAATCTCCACATTTTATCTAACAACAATAGAACAGCAAACGTTGTGTATAAAAATGTTTTAAATTAGGTTTTTTAAAAATATTTTTGTACACAACGTGACGCTGGCCCCAGTAAGTGTCTCTTGGACATTATTTTTTAAATATACCTACTAATGATTCAAAAATACACCCAAAGATAGTATTCCACGCGGACGAAGTCGCGGGTAACAGCTAGTAATAAATAATACAATAAGTATTTAGCTTACTAACTAATGCGAAATAGTTTTATCATCTACAAGTACAATGCCAATAGTTTTTTTATGAATGAGTGAGTGTTCATGAGTTTGATGATTAAAATTATGTACCAATGTTGACCAGTTTAACAACACTTTCAGTGTTGGTCGTTCTACGTTGTGAATTGATCGCGCATGCGCGTATGAGGGACGCGTTGTCCCTCCAGCCGATCTATTACCGCGCCCCACGGCAGTTGCCCTCCGTGAATTTACTGAGGCGATCGGTTCGCGTTGTCCTGATTTCTTTTTATCATGTAAGTGAATATAAATATGTATTTAGATTTTCTGGATCTTATTTTTTTCCGTATCAACAAAACAAGTTAATCAGAATTGTAGTGATTAAAAGTTGTAAAAAGTAGCAGTAGGTACCTATTCGTTTAAATAAGCAGTATAGTATTTTTTTCATGTTTATTTTCAATATACATATGTTTTAGTAAACGGCCCATTGGTCGTGTGTTGATTTTGATGTGATAGACTCTATAATCTAATGACGACTCTTAAAACCGCGAAATCAGTCGACTCAGGCTGACGCCATTTTCAATATGTATTATCCAAGTTACGTTCTTTGTTCATAATTTTAATACATACTTTGTTTTAGTCACGACGGGTCAGCCAACGTCAAAACCGGGTGTTAGCAGGCGTAGAAACTCTGCAGTTATAATGGATCAAACGAAAAGAGCAGCCATACGTAAGGTATGATACTACTATTTATAAGCTTTGATAAAGAATTTAATTAATCTGATATTAAGCGAAATTAAATGTACTTAAGTTGCTTGTTAGTAATATATTCGATTTATTAAATAAAGTTTAACAATTAAATATAAAATGATTTCTAATAAGTGAGACATGTGTTGTTTTATGCATCTCAGATGATGTTTAATAACGGTTTATAAGAGTTTAAGCTTAGCGTCCTTGAAATAGTCAACCATAGTTTTATCGATGACAAATACATATAATACATATGTAAATAAGGCACAGCAATGCTTTGTTTTTCAATTATACCGTTTTTGAGTTGTTATAATAGCGAAGTTGCTTAGCAGTTTTATGAAATAACGCATTACAAATCTGGACAAGGTCCTCACACATAGCAGCTATTGCGACTGTTGTTAAATACCAACAATGCAGTAGAGGTTTTATTGAAAAAGTAGTTGGCCCCATTATTATAACTTATAGACAGATCAAGCTGAATTATTTGTATCGTTACTTGTCTTATTAGTTGTTAATGGCGAAAATGTCTGCTTTAAGGAGCTGATAAAACAATTCCTGGCGGAATTGGGGGTACAGGTGGAACCGGAAGTTAATGCTGACGAAGACTTGGAATGTGAGTACCTACTTAATAAATAAAGAAATAAAATCGCTTACAAATAATTCCTGAAAGACCTATATTTTTCTTTTCTTTATACCGAATAGACTCCGAAACTTACTTTTCCCAAACTTTCGAGACAGAAATAATATTTATACTATATGTGTATTTTATCTACATAATACAGTCATTTGGTATTATTACTTGGAAAGATTTCCGAGAGTTTTGAAAATTGGTAATTTTATAGATTTTGACGTGCTCTTACCGATTTTTCCTTTGCCACCTCGTATCTTTACCGCTCGCGCCGCCATATTGCAAAAATGGCGCCTAAAAGCAGTTTTTTGATAATAACATTCCGACGTATTTTACAAGAAAACATATCTATACAAAATAATACAAGAGAAAATTTCCTACAATTTATTTTCCTAAAACCAATAGTTTCACGCGTACGAGCGCCGTTAACCATTAGGTGGCAAATTTAAAATTCGGAAAGAGCATGTCAAAATGTATAAAATTACCAATTTTCAAAACTCCCGGAAACCTTTCCAGGTAACCTCTATAGCCGAATGGTCGCAAGTGCGACTACCGGGCAAGGAATTTTGGTGTCGATTCCCGGGTCAAACAAAGTATTACTGTTTTTTTTTTAAATATTAGTGGTAGCACGGAATCTGGAAATGTGCCCGGTATATAGCAATAGGCTCACTCGGGACTAATAATATAAATAGTGAAAAATGGGTGTTACTTCTGTTTGTACCTCTGCCTACTCCTTCGGGGATAAAAGACGTGATGTTATGTATGTTGTTTTTATTTTGTTTGAACGGGCTATTCTCTGGAACTACTGGTTCGAATTGAATTATTATTTCTGTGTTGAATAACTATTTAGTCCAATTTATGACTTTGACTTTGTTGTAAAACATCACGTTGTGGTCAATAGGATCCGAACAGCGGCTGAAACCTCGTGGGAGTAGCTAATCTAGTATAATATTCTTCCTTCTAACCTTCTTATAAATGCTAAACTATCCGATTTGTTAAATCATGTGTTCTATTTTTTGGTAGACTTATCTGCTTCGCCGATACAGCGAGAGGCCGATTCCACTGAGGTCAGACAAGTTAGTGAATACATTAAAAAAATCAAGACCTTATTTATGGAAGACCGCACAACATCCGAGTTCCGAAGCTTAAAACGCAGCAGATTGATATCATCATCTGATGATGACGAAGAATATCTTCAGCAGCAGACAAAGAGGCGAAAGAAGCAAAGACGCCGCTTCTTGACTGCTAGATCTACTAATTCTACTATGCCTGTTGTAGTCACGGAGGTGAACGATCGTCCATTACCATCTCGTTCAAACCATTAAGTGAGAACAAGAATATCGACCTACCAGATGGGGGTTCACACCTTAATACTTTATTGATGTAGCTATATACGGTTTTAATTTAAAATTAGCAATAGACCGCCAAATGTCACGATACCGTTACGTTTACGTTCTTTTAAAAAGTTAGCTGGTGTTGATGTCGTATGTTAAAAGTACGGTTGAAAATCGGGTTGGTACATAATTAAAAACGTACCACATGCAAATTTTGTGTGAATCCCATTGGGGAAGAGTTTTTCTATTTTACCGTTCACCGTTAAGTTCAACAAGAATTTGTGTTATTTCAATAACAATAATTAAGACCCCATTGAATTTTATAATTGAGTGTAAAGTATCAAGTTCAAATAACTTAAAGGAAAAGAAAATGTGTTTAAAAATCACATTAAAAGAATTTTGTGCACAAAAGAGGGAAGGCATACCATTTCATTCCAACGTACGTATCATCATTGTAAGGATCCCTAAAGACTGAAGTAGTTTATATGAATATGTACAGTGTTTACGGGTGACATGATCTATTTCTGTGCGGGCTTTGTAATTGAGTGAAAAAAAAAACAGATATTTCTTACCTTAACCTAGTATCCTAGTTATATATAGGTACCGAGACAAAAAATACCATTTTCACATCATAGGAAAACAATTTATGTAATCAACATAAAGAACAACTTAGCCGGTAACCTCAGACAATTTTGTAAAAAATAATTTTAAATTGTAAGTTTTTATTTCTATTTCTACAATATCATAAAGTAAAAACAAACATTTCAGTAATGTAGTAAATTATGTTATAAACAACACCCTCAAGTGTCGACAACTCTGCAGAACGATCAACGAAAATGTTAACAATAATAATAGAACATTGTTATCCAATTGAGTATAAGTATTGTCATCCGTGCGGTCCGTGCGCATCTTTAAATAATATACATAGAAGAAGACAGAAAAAAGAAAAAGCATTTGTTCGACCGTTATACAATATCTGGAAACACCAATTTAAGGGCATGTAATCTATTGACATGTTTTTCTATATCTATTTACTAATCGTAGAAATCTGTAATTAGCTTTTTGTCACATATCATATTTCTCCAATTCAAATTGTATGGTTTTTTAAGGGGGAAAATCATCGAATTACATTACTGCTCCCGCCTCATTACTGACTAAAAACCACCCCGTCCCTTCTCCTGCACGTCGAGCCGGAGCCCCGGTAACCCGTAATAGGTTCTCCGCGACAAATTGTATGGTTGTTGATTTTCCAAGGGAATAAATAATTAGTTAATAATGTAAAGGGAAGTATCATGTCACCAGTTACCTTGCATATAATTTGTAAAAGCAGCGCAACGCTGTAAACTTTTATACGAGTGTATGTATGTAGGTAACTATGCGTGGGACTGAAAGTAATTTAGGATTTAATATCATGGCGGTATAGGTGTTACTTATTAGGAATGAAAAGGCTGATTTTTTGGAATGAACGAATTAACATTTAAATTGGATGGATAATATACTCAAATCAACTGCTGAAACGTACGACTTTGTGAGTGAAGAAATTGAAGTACATATAATGTAACTGAATACACGCAATACCTTGCTGTCGCTAGTTCAGACCACGGAAATGAGCATTAAAAAGAAATTTATGAAAAATACTCTGAGTTTGTCATTCAAATTGACGCTTAAATAGCCACAATTTCCATGGAAACAGCAAAACCTTTATAAATTTCCAAAAATATTGAACTAATGTTTTCTTTCATGGCCTGACCCAGCACCAGTTAGTTTTGCTTGTTACATAAAAACTGGTTATCTATAAGTATTGGTCCCGTAGATACTAAAACGTTGTAGCCTTCGTGTAAGTCCGGAGAGAAGATACTTCAACATGCTTGACAGGGGGGCGGATGAATTTATTTTTAAAATAAATTTATTTTATTATAAAATGTAACGTAGGCACGCGTTAATTCAAATGTTCGAAGATCGTTTTAAACAGGACGAAAATGTGAATATTTTTGAGTCTGGTGTCTGGCACAAGTTATCGATTAATTTATGTTTTTAAATTATGTTTTGGTCATATAGAATTAGATTTCTATATGACCAAAACATAATTTCAAAATCGGTCACTCCCTGCGCATACGTGTGTCTAGCTAATAACTAAACACACACATAAAATCAATTAAAAAGTCTTCTGTGTCGATAACTTGACACAAAATGTGCCTACGTTGACGCAGCAATTTGATTTTAAAATGAAGCACAATCTTTAAGTTTAAAAGTGAGTGTTTCTAATGAGTTTACATCTTAATTATTTTTAGCAGTAAGTAGCTATAGATCAGTGATGACTAAAGGACTTAGATTGTAGATCAGTTTACCAGATATAATAATATATTTTATTAGTATGTGCTCTGTACTAAGTGTTCTTTTCTTTCAATGTGTGTAGTAATGTAAAACAGTATAATATGATAAGAAATGCTAACATATTTTATGAAAACTCTCAAATAATAAGTCGAGTCTTTTCTTCACATAATATTGGTCGAGTCATAAGTTTTGTTCTTTAATTATTCTATCAGCTGATTTCTTTACATAGCTTACCCTGATATTGTGCTAAAAACATGTCTTTACATACCACAATAAAAATTGCGACTGGCGTATGATGTAGAAGGGTGTACAAGTATGTCAGGAATTATCACATTTTACTAGAGAGAATGCAGGGGTATGATTGTATTTCTTAAAGGGGGCTATTTTTATGCCTACCTATATTTCAACTATTTTTGTGTAATGAAACAATTATAACAATCTCATTAATGGCCTTTCCTGCTTTTTTATACTTGATAGAATGATGTTTGGCTACCATCTCGCCTGGTGGCGGCAAGTATCCTCTTAAGTATTAATATAAAACAATAATACTAACGATGTAATTGTACTACGTATTAAAAATATCAAATAAAAACTGATATTTTATTTATTAAATTATCGTGTTATTCAATGAATACAAATTAATACTTACAAGGACATTGAAAACAGGCGGACACAATCTCTTGAAATAACGGCTGTGGCACCTGGTTACTATAGACTTACACGTAGAACAAACACACATTGACACGAATGAAATCTGTCATTTTCTTAAGTCTGGTAACGTGGTAACCCATTACACACGCACACATGTGATATTATGTTTTTTTATGGCATAAGCCGGTAAACGAGCAGACGGATCACCTGATGGTAAGCAATCGGCGTCGCCCATGGACACCTGGAACACCAAAGGCATTACAAGTGCGTTACCGGCCTTTTGGGAATTAGAAGTTTGAGGATCGTTGGGGAGTTAGGAATTGGGGAGATTGGGGAAGGGGAGGGAAATTGGACCTCCGGTAAGGTTACCGGAGTGAGGTCACTCTCACGACGAAACACAACACAAGCGTTGCTTCACGTCGGTTTTCTGTAAGGCCGTGATATCACTCCGATCGAGCCGGCTCATTCGTGCCGAAGCATGGCTCTCACACACTTGTATATGTCCGCCATATTATCAACGTCCTTTATTTTCAATTCAGTTTTAGATTAAAGAAATTACACCATTGAACGAATATATGTATAGGCGAGTTGAAGGTATAGTCCCATTATTTGAAAAGAAAGCATATTTTACCGCCTCTTTCCTTGTCATGTCACGGGCACTCGATAGGGTTTGGTATGATGGTCTTTTATACAAAATAAAAAAGACACTATCTGTCAACTATTACAACTTTATACGATCGTACCTTCTTGGAATTTGTACAAAAACTAAGCTTGAACGGAAATGTCTATCCAGTTGTAGAGTTGCTAAATTCGGAGTTCCACAGGGCAGTGTTCTTGGTCCGCTGCTATTTCTGCTATACATTAACGACCTGCCCCGTCAAATTTGTCAACCAATGACACTATTCGCTGACGATAGCACTGCTATAGTAGAATGTTCTGGTGATAAAGATTACAAAAATAAAATTAACAACACACTAGAAACCATAATAGAATGGCTCAATATGAACAATTTAGTCATAAATCTACAAAAAACCAAAGTCATGCATTTCTACCAAAGAGTACAACCAGGAAGTATAATTACTGAGTACAAAAGTCAAAAAGTCGACACAACATCAGTGACCAAATTCTTAGGAGTGCATATCGACAACCAATTGACTTGGAAATATCATGCTGAAAATGTGTGCCAAAGACTCAGTAAATCCTCATATGTACTTTATAGCCTCTCAAATAAAGTTAATATAGGTACATTAGTGATAGCCTACCATGGATTAGTTGCTTCTTTCTTAAGATACGGTGTCATATTCTGGGGTAATTGCAGCGATAAAGAAAGAATATTTCGAGCCCAAAAACGATGCCTCCGATCAATGACAGGTCTTACACAAACTGAAAGTTGTCAACCTTTGTTTCAATCCTTGAAAATTTTGACACTACCTTGTCTGTACATATTAGAAGTGGCTCTATTCGTGAAATTAAACAGATGCTTATTCACTTCAATGGCTGACACGAGACAACGTACAATACCAATAAGGACCCAGTATAGAAGCCAATTATGCACAGGTGGTCACAAAACAGCCTTTCTGAAAAATAGCATCTTTCACATGGGACCGCTGGTATATAACAAACTACCGGAAAACTTAAAAGACATACCTCTAAATAAATTTAAAAACCAATTAACATCATTGCTACTGACTAAGTGTTACTACACAATCAAAGAGTTTTTAAACGACAGAACTCTAAAGGAAAATTATACGTTTTAATAATAATAAGTAGCAAAACTTTGGGAAACACTGTAATATGTCTTGCTCAGATTGAAACACTTATGTATTGATTGCGTTAGTGACTTTTATGGCATTACATTATGACTTCAATTAAGATACTTCGTTAGTTTGATATTATTTCGTTATTTGATAATCGTCGACATAACTTAATTTATTGTTAATTGTAACATTTGACATTTCTTGACATAAACTTTGTAACATTATATTTTGGACTAAGTACCCACGTTGACATTGCATCATATTTAATTATTTCTTTTTGTATAGCTTATATTTGATCGTAGCAATTTAGCATTTATTTTTTTTTTCAATTATTCTAAAATTTTGACTGTATACCTAGTTATCTATTTGACGACATTCAGATCGCATTATAATTTAATTTGCATGCCGAAAGGTAAAATGTACTGGGTCAATTAACTTTATTCCAACTTATATGTATACCTACATTATTAGCAAATAAATGATTTCTTTCTTTCTTTCTTGGATCTTCTTGGATTCACTCATTCATGATCATCAAAATATAACTAATACTTACCATATACTCAGATAGCTAAAATTTGGTACAGAGTTATAGTTTCAGCCGACACAGTTAACCAAGCATATCTAAAACCACAACAGCTTGGATAAAATATCTGCTTGGTTGATAGACTGAGTAATAAGGCAAACAAAACTAAATCGGTTACAAGTTACATTTATCACTTGACGACTAATTGTTTCGCATGTGACACTAAATACGTCCATATACCACAGGCTGATGAAGCAAAATCCTTTGGGATGTCCTTGGAGCGACGTTTGACGCAAAGAAAGCATATTTTACTAGACGATTAGCGATGGGTCAACAATTCCGCAAGATGTATTCTAATTAACAAAAAAAGTTAAGTCTCAACGGACAATAAGATTCTATTGTATGGCCATATAGCATAGAACTGTGGTTCAACGGCCAAGTCAAATCTGCAAATTCTGCAATAATTTCAATAAAAATTATTGATAATGAATCAATTGTATGTCGTGATATATGTTTGATATTTTTAATATCCGCTCGCGCCAGCGAGTCAGAGTTGACAAACACTAAGGACCAATGTCCACCACGCGTCATTTATAAAAAGGATATTACTTTAAAAATCTATTACAGTAAATTTAAGAAGGATAAAAATAAAATTACAGTTCCTTAAATGTATCCATTTTATTTAAGTATAATCAGGGATAATGTTTTAGTATGTAATGATTGATAGATACTTAGCTTACCGGTCTTGAAATGCAACTCTTCCTATCGATGGCATACCTTATGTTATGAAATATTAAATGCCAAAAAGCTTCATAGTCTCACCCTGTTCTCTGACCTTACCCACCATAACTACAGTTTACATTAAATCTACATAAAAGGAAATCCTAGTATGGGGCAACATTTAGTGTCTTTAGGTTTAATACATATAATTACAGCAGGACAGTATCAAGATACATGTATTATCAGTAGCAAGATACATGTATTGTAAATACCTTTGTACACACTACAAAAGTGCTAAAAGACTCATTTATAATTACATATTTTCAAAATAAGCGGACTAAGATTTATACGTAAGTAGATGAGTTTCTTGATATTTCTGTATATTCGGGATAAAAAGTACCCAGTGTTGTGCCTAGGATATTTAAGTTTAGAACATACAGACAGACAGACACACAAAAAAAAATTAATTACATTTTTGGAATCGGTATCTATCTAGTAGGTAATACTCCCACTATTTACTTTTTTAATATTTTCAATTTATAGTTTTATTCCATGTATAGACATAAATTATTATAGACATCATAAAAAAACAACAAAAAACAAACATAAAAGTTTACACAATTAACAAGTACGGCTCCGGCTCGGCGATTTTTGTTATGGAATCAATACAAAAAGGTTATGTAAGCGCACTATATGGCTGTATGTGACATAAGATGTAATGTTTGAATTGTAATGACAAGTTAATTGTTGGGTTGGAGTCGTGCCGGTTAAGTGTGCTAGGACCTTAAGTCTTAATTCTTACTTCTATTAATAAACATGTATTAAATATTTAAAATAAAGTAGGAATAATGCTGCTGGCGTTAGCCGCCCGCCCGTTTCTGAGTAGTAGATTCCCGAGCAGGCAACGTTCCCCAGCTGCAATATTATTTACAGAAAAACTTTAATACATACAATATTCAGCAAGGTGAGGAGTAAATCAAAAAATCGCTATCGATAAGTTTATTTCCTAAAAGTGTTTATCTTATAATGACTGATAAATATTGCCATATTTGTTAATAATATTAAAACTATTGTAAATATATCAATGGAAAGTGAAAAACCATTTCAATTTAAGTATATAATTAAATTAACAGTCACTCAACAAAGTTTTTTGACTGTACCGGGAGGACCGAGATTTTAGCGGGAATTAGTCATTACGGGTGCCGGAACCGCGGCGGGAAGCGTTGCGAGTGCCGTAGCTGTAGCGGCTGTCCGAGTTACCATAACGGGAGTCGTAACCATAGCGCGAGTCGTAGCCATAGCGGGAGTCGTAGCCATAGCGGGAGTCGGAGCCGTAGCGTGAGTCGGGGCCGTAGCGTGAGTCGGGGCCGTAGCGTGAGTCGGGGCCGTAGCGTGAGTCGGGGCCGTAGCGTGAGTCGGGGCCATAGCGTGAGTTGGGGCCGTAGCGTGAGTCGGGGCCGTAGCGTGAGTCGGGGCCGTAGCGTGAGTCGGGGCCGTAGCGTGAGTCGGGGCCGTAGCGTGAGTCGGGGCCATAGCGTGAGTTGGGGCCGTAGCGTGAGTTGGGGCCGTAGCGTGAGTCGGGGCCGTAGCGTGAGTCGGGGCCGTAGCGTGAGCTATAGCGGGCACCGCAGCTATAACGGGAGCCGTGACGGTAGGGGAAACTGGAGCTATAGTTGTAGCGGGCATCAGAACCGTGACGAGTGCCAGAGCTGTGGCGCGTGCCAGAGCTGTGGCGCCTGGCAGAGTTGTGGCGCGTGGCAGAGTTGTGGCCCGTGCCAGAGCTGTGGCGCGTGCCAGAGCTGTGGCGTGTGCGAGAGTTGTGGCGCGTGCCAGAGCTGTGGCGCGTGCCAGAGCTGTGGCGCGTGCGAGAGTTGTGGCGCGTGCCAGAGCTGTGGCGCGTGCCAGAGCTGTGGCGCGTGCCAGAGCTGTGGCGCGTGCCAGAGCTGTGGCGCGTGCTAGAGCTGTGGCGCGTGCCAGAGCGTGAACGAACACTAGACTCGGTCGCGCTACCGGAACCAGAACCAGATGCAGTACCAGAGCCGGTACTTGTGCTAGAATCAGAACCAGAGCTGGCCCTAGACTCGTACTCGTATTCTACCCGATGGGGTCTCGTCAACAAGTACATCATCTCCGCTAAATGTGCCTGCATATTAGCATCATCTTTCATTTTCAAACGGAACATATGGGTAATTGCGTCGTAGCTGGAGTCTGGAGTGATGTATCGGTCTCCTGCAATCAATATAAGAACGTGTTTTAGTGAATTATTGGGTTTTTAAATATTCTCAGTAGTAGCACGGAGGCTGGAACTGTGCTCGGTATATGGCAATAGGCTCACCCCCTATTACATGGGACTCGTAACATAAATAGTGAAAAGTGGGTGCTATATTGTACAGTGGTATAATGTGCACCTATGTCTACCCCTTCGGGGATAAAAGGCGTGATGTTATGTTATGTTACCAACAAATACAATACACGTAGGGTACGAGAAAGCAAATTTACTGTACCAGATATAAACAAATGTTAAGGGAAAAGCACATCCGCCTACTTAGTACCTAAAGTATTTAACCAGATAGGTATATTAAGAGAAGACGGGAAATAATATAGTAAAGGATCTATAAAATCAAAATTAAAAATAAATATATTGGAGTTAATAAGTTAGGTTATTGGTTTTGTATGGAATTTTTGAGTGTTCACGTTTTATTTATTACTTAGTTGTTTTATGAAAAAGATTTTGTTATTGTGTGAAAATTATTTTATTCAGTAGTACAGGTATTATAACAAATAGTTGCTATGTCCTGCTTGAGTTATAGGTAAGAAAAAAAATTTTGCAACCCTAGATATTATATTATAATCTAATTGTTTGTCTAATGAGCGTTTCTCGCCATCAAACGCAAAAGTTTGGCGAGTTTAGATTAAGGGCAACTGCTTTGTAAAAGACAATATCCAAAATGGCCCTGTATAATAAAGAGTATCAAAATATACGATGATTAATCCCCTATTTTATTATATAAGTTGCAAATACTTCTGTATCACGAACTAGTAGTGGGGCGCAGTAAGGTTTATACCTCGGAATCCAGGGCCAGTAATGAATCTTAATATAAACCTTGAAAATATGTTTTCAATAGTATATAGAAAAATGTTAAAAAACATTTTTTTCGCGCTCTCAATTTTTTTAGTATATAAACTCGCGACTTTTTCTACGTGCATTCGGTATGCAGACAAAAATATATTAATAAAAGATGTATTAATTCTTATTTTAAAAAAAGAACACCACATCTGCATGCTCTCCACCTAAAAAAATGCTTCGAACAGCTACTTCAATTGATTTTAATTGGAAAACTAGGTGCCTCTTTTGTGAAAAAGAAACGGATGAAATGAAGGAAAGAAGGAAGTCCAAGTCGTCAAGACAACAAATCAGCTACGTCACTAGTACTGATTTCAAGAAAAGTATTGTAAGTTTGATATGTGAAGACAAAAGTGAGTATTGTTGCAATATTCATAAAAGAATCGTAGGCGTGTTAGATTTAGTAGCTCAGGTAGCTAAATATCACGAGGATTGTTACATGCGTTTAAAAAACGCTAAAACAGACTCAAAGGGAGAAAAAATTCATCCAGTAACAATGCAAGTAGATGCAGCAATGGAGCAGATTTTCAAATATATTTTTTGCTCATGCAAAACAGGATGTGGAGCATGTTGTGGGTGCAGGAAAAGTGGATTAAACTGCACTGCAGCTTGCTTAGAATGCAATGGTGACAGCTGCACTTATCCTTCACCTACAATCTATATCAACGAGATCGAGGACGACGACAATAATGTACAATGATGTAACAATGTGTATAGTTAATGATAATTTTTTTTTGTAACTTATTTTTTACGATAATCTAATAAATTAACATTGAAGTTACTCTGCACATATCATTTATTACAAATAAAAATATTTTTTTTACTTTAAACACTTTTTCCCCTTGCCGTCTCTCATTTTTCAATAAATTGTTGTTAAAAATTGTTGTAAATCCAGATTGGTCAATTTTTGTTTTTTAACTTTTTTATTTGAGGTTTTAATAATGCAGTCTCATACTTGATATACAGATTCATTGACTGGCCCTGGGTTCCGAGGTTTGACCATTTTTATGCCTCAAGGCACTCTACTATAGCTGTATTCCAAAATGTTCTTTTAGCAGAATTTAACGCGATTAACAACATTAGATCGCCATCTTCGACTAATGTCAAATGCCTTCGCCTAATGTTATGAATAATAATCGTCGTAATAGGTAGTAACAATAATAATATACAGTAATCAAAACTTCTTTACTTCTATACAATGATTCAAACATTCAACATTCGTTCAAATATTCATTGTTATGGTTAGATTATAACCTCAAAATTTGATACTTTTTTTGAAATACATTAATTCAAAAAAGTATCGGGAATGGATGATTTGTTTATGGTTCCAAATTGAAATTTTTGTTTTTTTTTATAGTTGTTAGATTAGCACAACTGTTTTCTATTTTGGCGCTGAGTTTGAGTTACATCTGTTATTTATATTAAATACAGTGCTGGTTTTAGTAATATCATATATAGTGTGTATTGCGAATTTCAAAATGTACAAAAATATCGAACAAAGAGTTTGTCTTAAATTTTGCATCGCCAATGGAGTTTCGTGTTCGGAGTCACTGAAAATGTTACAGAAGGCTTACGGTGAATCGACTTTATCAAAAACTCGTGCTTATGAGTGGTTCAAAGCGTTCAAAAGCGGTCGAGATGTGATGGAATTTTTGCTTCGCTCTGGTAGGCCGTCAACGTCTGCAACTGAAGTTAACATCGCAAAAGTGAAGGAAATAGTGACTGAAAATCCCCATTCAACTCTGAGAGAGATAGCCGCTAAACTTTATGTATCTCACGGATTCATCTGTACCATTTTAACTAATCATTTGGGTATGAAACATGTTGTTACTCGGCTAGTCCTAAAAGATCTGAATTTTCACCAAAAACTCAATCGCATGAAAGTCGCTGAGGACATGCTAGACCGAGTCAGTTCGGACCCAACATTCATGAAACGCATTGTTACTGGTGACAAAACGTGGGTTTACGAGATTGACATGGAAACTAGTCAACAAGCTCCGGAGTGGCGCCTTCCAACTAAACCGAAACCGAAAAAACCACGTCAAATTCGATCAAAAGTCAAAATCATGTTGATTGTTTTGTTTGACTATCGCGGTATTTTGCACCCTGAATTCTTACCGGAACGACAATGCGTCTTCGCAGAAGGCTATCATTGTCAACGAATTTTTGACTGAAACCTCAACAAATACCATCCAGCAACCACCATATTCACCAGATATGGCTTCTGCTGACTTTAAATCGATAGAAGACATAAAGGAGAATTCGCGGCGTGAACTGAACTCATTTCCGGAAGCAGCGTTTAAAAAATGTTTTGATGAATGGATTATTCGTTGGCGCAAGTGTATCTTTTCTAAAGGTTTTTTGAAGGTGATAAAATAAATTTGGGTGAATAACGGACATTTTGTGTATTATTGATCTTTTCCCGGTACTTTCTTGACAGAGTAGTATATTAATTATATTTGTTTACATTCATCATATATTTTTATTAGGTGCGTATTTTATTTTATTTAGCATATTGCACGCTTATTTTACAGTTTTCTTTTATTCATGTCTATTACAGTTGAAATTTGTCCTTTATATATTCGTCAATAGTGCTAGTGTAGCTGTTAGCTTTCATTTACGATAGTATTATGGAATTATAAATTAAGGAGCAGACTGCTGCCTGTATATATAGTTTTATTAACTCGTCATCATTAGTTATATCTAGAATATGTTCACATATACTTGAATAAAAGCCTCTGTAAAGAAATTGACTTGCTTCCGCTGCACTTGACTGGTTTGACAGTACACAATTTATGGAAATCAATGAAATATTATATTATGTGGACCCGAGGTCACCGGTGTGTCCGGTTGGGGTGAGAAGTTTTTGATGCACAGATAATAACCGTATATTGAAAATACAAAGCTATATTTGAAGGAAAGAAAAGTTACCGAATTGGTCGTCTATGGGACAGAAATGAAATCTGTTCGATAATTTTGCCTAACGCGAAGCGAAAATCGTACAAACCCTTTTCAATAATCCCCAATGACTCAAAACCCATGTCAACATAGCTGTAGTTCGATATGTTTAAGATCAGACTTAAGGTTAAAAAATCCAAAGAATAAATATTTCATAAAATCGAAGTTCTTTTTGTTGTAGTCAGGTAATAAATGTTACTTACGGATCATCTGGACCTTACTGAGCGCCACAATCTTGTTTAGCACGTCCTGCAAATAATAGACGGAAACTATATTGGAACGTATTCACTGTTGGAATGAGTTAACAAATATCTTCGTTTGAATTTGAATCGAATGAGTTGACAAATATCTTAGTTTGAAGGATATTTTATATTATTTTATTTTACACGAGGGAAAAAATCGTATTGCCTTAGCCTTATTTACAAGTAATGTACAATTGCAGAAATAATATTAACTTAATATTGCATACATACATATTTGTATACATATTTGACGTAGTTCGCGAGCTGCTCTAGAGCATAATGCGTTATAACACATTCCACGGCCTGATCTAAACGCACCAACGTAATAGTTGACATACAGCTTTTTATTTTTTATTTTAATTAAATAAATGAGTTTAAAATATATTTAGTACTCAAGATTTAAATATAAATAATTAAAACTAAAATATTTACACCTTAAAAAATAATAATAATGAAAAAATAATAATAATGAAAAAAAAATTATAAGGCATCAAAGAAAATATTTTCCTCATCGCTACCGTGAGGTAGGGTGCCCAAAAGACTGGCAGCATTGCCACGTTGAATGGCAATGCTTAACCTTTGCCCAAGGTAGTAGCCAGCCCTTCGATCACCTGAAGTGTCAACCATCCTCCTTACAATATCTTTGTAAAGAAGATGTGCACTTGGGCCCCACGGCCCTAAAGTTTCAACCCCAAACGGTTCGAAAGCATAATTGCCAATCAGGCTATTATACTTTCGCCGTTTGAGGTTCTCGGCAGCGGCACCGGCTCGACACGCTGAGCTTGGAAGATGGGATGGCGCCAGAGTATCAACGCAAGTGGCGTCCCATACTAAAGCCCTACCCATCTTCCAAGGGAATAATGACATATCGTCGGGTCTCTTGCCATCGTCGCGTACCAAGCCATTAGGTTCTAAAGTAGCTGGCACGCCAACGGAGGCAAGAGCTCGACGAATTATGTCATTAATACTTGCGTGTCGAGCAAAACGGCCCGCACTACGGCTACATGACAAGCCGTGGTGTCCAAGGCTGTTGACAACTTCACCACAACGACAACGATGAGGTAAACAAAATGAAGCTCCAAGCCTTAAACAAATTGCAGCGCGGAACGTGGTGTCGTCCAACAAAGTACCTAGGTTAGACGAAGGTAAAGCAAGAAGCCATAACCCCGACTCCCACTCACCCACAGCCAAAAGGCGAGCTCTCTCTGCAGTTGAACAAGAGGAGTTCAAAAGATTTTCGCTCACTTTTCTGCAGAGCGGCTCGTCCCATTATCTCTGGGAGAGTAATTTGACAGGGGGTCAATATTTGGGCAAGCGATTTTCCAAGCATTCACAGCTTCCACTAAATATGGTACATCAAAATTAACCAGTGATTGAGAAAGAATTTTCCTGGTTAATTCTTTAGTACCATGGGCGGAAGATATGAAAGCCGGTAGGCTTACACTGGAAATTTTACGGACGCCAAGCCCACCCATGCGGACAGGCAGAGTGGCTTGTGTCCAAGCTCGGTCATCAAGAGCCACATTCAAAATTAAGGACAGGGTTCGCCTAATAATTTGGTCAATTTTTTCTAAAAGAAGGGGTGCAGACCAGAGGTGGGTCGACCGCAAAAAGTACATAAATTTGGGACCAAAGCAACAAAACCGAATAATAGTATAAGCCGAATGCATTTTAATGTTATATAGTTTTTCTGAAACGACAGAAAAATTTTGAATTTTTTTTCAATAAAACTTGGAAAAGTCCTCGAAGACGGGCGCACCTAGGAGGCGAAGTGAACACTTATCAACCACCGAGATATTACAGCTTATTGGTTTAATAAATGAAATATTGACTACTTACGAAAACTTGACGGACGTCTACTTCGTAGTAGGACACTTTCTTGGGAAAGCGTAATTCTTCCGATTGGCCTGGTATTGGTTGCCTAAGGTAGCAATGGAGATCACAATGGCAATTGCATCGTGCTGAGTGTTCAGCCATCTGAAAAATATTAGGATTATTGACATTATTACATCTATTCGCATTTTAAGTTTTTAACTTTATTAAGTTTTTAGTTCTTCGTTTTTTAAGTCAGCTTTTTATAATAAATGGTTCCATTGTTGTGTGTTGTTCTTGTAAAATACAGGTACGGCGAAGTAGTATTTTTAGAACATAATGAATATTTTCTGTAATATGTAGCATACTGTTAGACAAGGAACACTACTAGACACTAAAGAACTTTTTTAAATTGCAATGGATATCAGTTTTTTTTAATCCTTTATTAGTTAAAACATATCAGATGGGTGAATGAAAAATTAAACTTTGGAACATTGTAAGAATATTATTTGAAACCATTGATCATCAACAATATGTATTTAGATTCAATAGACTTTGGAGTATACAACAAAATTTATTTTGGACCACTAGACCTACAAATAAAAAGTTATTTTGAGTTAAAATAAACATTTTGGGAAAATCAAACCCTAAATCTCTGAAAAAATTGTGTCGTTACGTGCGCCAAATACCATCTATTAGTCTTCACTCGTTAATAGTATTTATAAATTAAATACATTATTATAATTGTATATATATTATAATAAGACATACTACATGGCAGTGTTTATAACATAGATGATATTGTTATCATTATGTTTTTATATTAAATGAAGGGTGACAAACTTCGTTCCACTTATGACCGTCTTCGCATTTTTTTCACCAAAACAAAAACAAATAATAGATCTTACACTGTAAACAAACGCTCCAAAGCCACTGAACAATTACGACAACAGACACAACACTCAAGTATGCAGCAAGCAGTTAGACTGGGGTGGGCGTCCTGAATCTAGTCCTCTCGATATGCAGTCGGGCATCCTGTCAATATAGCTACGCATGCGCTTACTTACCCAGCCCTTTTAGTTCGATCATTAAGTAGGAAATATATACCTATAAATTTATACACCATGGGCACCTGATCTGGGTCTTGTTTCTCTCGGAGACCCAGATCATGTGCCCGTCGGACGTATCGTACCTGAACTATCCTGGTTTTTCCCTGGAGCACAATTTTGTTCCGCATGCAGGTGTATACGTATACGTCCGAGACGGCATCTGTTACCGGTGTCTCCGAAACCTTGAGGACCCAAGTTTTTTTGCTCTTTGGATACTGGTAGACATAGGCATGGAGAAAATTCTTTATGCCTGTGTCTATCGGTCGCACAGCGGAGATTTGGAGGCGGTCAGATTAGCGCAATACCTCGGCGAAGCGGCGGATGCGGCTCGACAGGCGTACCCTTCGGCCCAGTTGGTGTTACTGGGGGATTTTAACGCTCATCATCAGGAGTGGGTATTCCCATACCAGTGCACCGACCATGCTGGAAGGGAAATGCGTAAGCTTGCGCTTTCGCTTGACCTGACCCAGCTGGTCCAGGAAGCCACAAGGGTGCCCGATGGCACACTGCCAATTGCTTAGACCTTCTGCTGACAACTGATCCAGACCGCTACTCGGTGACAGTCTCATCACCTCTAGGTAGCTCTGACCACTGTCTGGTGAAATCTGTATCCACACACTCCCCATCAGATCCGAGTCCCAGAGGACCTCGGCGGATGTGGCGATACAAGTCAGCGGACTGGGATGGGATGCGATCTTTTTTCGCTTCCTATCCTTGGCGGCCTGTCTGCTTCTCTTCTGATGACCCGTCAGCTTGTGCGGAAGCCGTAACGGGGGTGCTGTGCCAGGGCATGGAATACTACATTCCATTCTCAGACGTGGCATCCTTTGGTGGGACCCGTCCTTGGTTCGATGCCGACTGCGGACTTGCCGAAGCGCAAAAGCAGGAGGCATACTTGGCATGGGCGGATGCCAGGCGCCGTAGGGCTGATGACATTCATCAAAAGAAGAGAGCCTTTAATCGGGCTGCCAAGTCATGCAAAAAGTCATTACGGATGGCTTGATTTAACCACATTGGCCGTATAGGGAACAAACTAGCTTACTACCCAGCGGAGTAAAGCTTTTTGGTCCCTGGCCAAGGCGGTTGAATCGAACTTCTGTCGCTCCTCGCTTCCTCCGCTCCTGAGGTCTGACGGGACGCTGGCTCACACTGCGGTAGAGAAAGCGAATCTATTTGCTTCTTTATTTGCGGAGTCTTCGCGTCTTGACACTGGTGGCGTCTTGCCTACTTCTATTAATAGCGTATGCAAGACGAATATGTCGCAAATTCGCATTCGACAGAGGGAGGTATATAGGACGCTACGCGATCTGGACGTGAACAAGGCCAGTGGTCCCGACGGTATCCCAGCCCTGGTTTTAAAAACCTGTGCGCCTGAGTTGTCTCCAATCTTGACACGTCTGTTTCGCCTTTCCTTAGAGACGGGTCTAGTACCGGTTGCATGGAAGCTGGCCAACGTACAGCCTGTGCCTAAAAAAGGTAGTCGTGCCGACCCTAACAATTACCGCCCTATTTCGGTCACGTCCATACTCTGCAAGAGCATGGAACGTGTACTTAACAATAGACTCCTGGCATACCTTGAAGGTAACGATCTCCTCAGCGATCGGCAATACGGGTTTCGACATAACCGATCGACTGGGGACCTTCTTGCGTATGCCACTCACATATGGAGCGAGGCCATAGAGGGGCACGGGGAGGCATTAGCAGTCTCCCTCGATATTCCGAAGGCCTTTGACAGGGTATGGCACGACAGTCTTATCGGCAAGCTTCCTGCATATGGACTTCCTACTGATCTGTGCAGATTGATAGTAGACTTTCTGAAGAATCGGTCAATACGAGTAGTCATCGATGGTTGCTCGTCTGACCAACTCGGTATTAATGCCGGCGTCCCTCAGGGGTCAGTACTTTCAGCCACGCTCTTTTTGCTGCACATAAACGACCTGCTTAAGCCCGGTATCTTTAGGTATGCAGATGACAGCACAGTTGTTGAAAGGTATGTGTCCGGTGCGCGGACTAGCGGAACACAGATCCAGTCTTTAAGAGAATCCATGGTCGAACGTTTGAACTCGACCTTGAAGGCGGTCCCCGACTGGGGTGACGCCAACTTGGTTAGGTTCAATGCTAGCAAAACCCAGGCGTGTCTATTCTACGCCAAACGGAGTCAATTTCCGCTGACTCCTACTTTCCGGAATGTATCCGTACCGATAACCGATCATCTTGAGCTTCTTGGTGTAACTCTGACGCCCACACTCAACTTTGGCTCCTATATAGAGTCAAAAGCGCAACTGGCTGGTAGGAAGTTGGGTGTCCTATGGAGGGTGAGACGGTACTTCACGCCGAAACAATTGCTGAGCCTGTACCATGCACAGGTTCGGTCCTGTATGGAGTACTGCTCTCATCTTTGGGACGGCTCGGCAAAATATCAGCTGGACGCGTTAGAGCACATTGAGAGGCGTGCCAAGAGGCTCATCGACGATGATGCGCTTGTGAAGGCTCGGCTTCAAAGCCTCGAACACAGGCGTAAGGTTGCAAGCCTTTCGGTTTTCTACCGAATACATTTCGGTGAGTGTGTGGGGGAATTGCACAACTTGATTCCCCCTAGTCCTTTCCATCATCGTACCACAAGGCAATCGGCGAAGCGTCACCGATTCATGGTAGATGTTCCGCCCACACGCACAAAGCGCTCCGCTTCAAGCTTCCTTGTGCGTACTGCTAATGAGTGGAATTCTTTGCCAGAGTCTGTATTTCCTGAAGGGTATAACCTGGGAGTCTTCAAGGCCCGAGTGAATAGGTTGCTTATGGGACGACGTACTCCATCGTAGACCGCATCATCGCTTACCATCAGGTGAGATAGTGGTCAAACGTCGCCCCATCAAATATAAAAAAAACCTGTGAAACACTACACTATAAAAAAACCGCGCCACTTTCTCTACTTTCATGTGATGTTTATTTAAATTATTTGTTTCCCTAAATGCTCATTAAAATGTAGTTTGCGGTGCTCTGGCGCCAAAACTACTTATATTGGAAAAAACTGGTTAGATTATATAAAATTGTAAGTAGTTTAATTGTACCCAATTAAACTACTTACAATTTTATCAATTATCAACGGTTTTCTCTTAAAATGCACAGAAGCAGAGATATTGTAAAAAAAAATTTTTTTGGCCGCCATTTTTCCAAGATAGCGGCGCAAGCGGCGCACGTACAAAGATGCAAAATGGAAATCGAAAAGTGCACTTCAAAATCTACAAAAGTTACGGTTTATCAAACTTCCCGAAAAAATTTCCAGGTCCTAATTACTGAATTATTTGTGTTATCTAAATACATAAATAAAACTCAAAAGTGACCGACTGACTGACATAGTGATTTATCAACGCACATCCCAAACCACTTGATGGATCGGGCTGACTTCGGCATGCAGGTGTTATGATCTAGGCATCCGCTAATAATGGATTTTGATAATTTCTACCTCCAAAGGAGATAAGATTTTTATGAGACTATGTTAGTTTTAAACCGATCGGGTTGAATTTCGACATGCAGGTAGATGGCCTAGGCATCCCCTAAGAAAATATTTTCATCAATTTCTCCCCCAAAGGGATAAAATGGGAGTGAAAGTTTGTATGAAGCTTTGTCAGTTTTAAACCGATCGGGTTGTAATTCGGGATGGAGGTATGTGTTATGACGTAGGCTTCCCTTAAGAAAAGATTTTGATCAATTCCATTCCCAAAGAGATAAAACCTTCTTAGCCAAAGAATCTCTTAAATCTAGAAACATTAATTCTTTTTGATAAATTCGGTAAAACGATAGCTTAAGACCTGGGAAACGAAAAGTTTTTATTGTTTGTTTAGAGAGATTCGGTACAAAAATAGTCGATAGAATAGTTTTTATCACTGAGACGTTACGGGAACGGGCACTGCTGGTAAAATTCCTGAGGAATTACTTATTTTTTGAAACCATGTTTATTTATTTATTTTTATTTATTTTAATTCGGGTAACCAACAGCTATATAACAAATAATAAAATTTCAGAATATGCTAATACAAAGCCAATTATAGGTTTCCA